GTTACAAGCTGTTAAGAACATGTAATTGTATTATAATTCTCTCTACTATAGTGTAGGTAGACGTTAGTGTGTAAGTTTATAGAATAGTTGCCTTACTACTCTAAATTTTAAAAGCTTTAACTACGCTAGAGGCAGCAGCACTAAGAACCTAAGCCTTAGCCTGCCTAACGCCTACACCTCTAAATATAGAATTTTAACCTTTTTAGAAATACGTCTTTTTATGTACTAGCAACAGACCTTACTCTTTTTAGACTAGTTTGCGCTGTAGAATTAGTTTGCTAATAAAATAAGTGTATATAGAGACGTACTAGCTTAGACTTTATTAGCAAATTACAGTTATTATATACCTAACTACTTAATATACTATTAAAGTTATTGCAATTAGATTATTACGAAACAAGCGCGTAAACAAGAAGAGCCACGTTCCTGTTCGGCGGCAAGATGTTTCTATCTTTCCTTTTCTTGACGCGCATTAGCCCACGGGTTTCCTTCGATCCGTACCGTTTGGCGTCCCATGAAACGACGTTCCAAGCATTCTAATAAGGTCTCTATACCCGTTGAGGGTATACAAACCTCTAATATCAAGCTTCTATTTTCAAGTACCGCATTGGCGCGCGCCTCGTTCACCTGATCGGTAGTCGTAGCGTGAGATGTTAATACTACGCGTTTGATCTGATAGGTTCCCCAATGACGGGCTCTCAGCATCCGACCAAAAGGAAAACATGCCATTCAACAATCCGATACCCTCTTTTTGAGGCAAAGCGTGTATACCAGTGAGGGTATCGTGGTGTTGGTGGTATGACTTCTTGCAGCAGCCTCGCGCAGGCTAATCAGGCCACCCTGCTATCGCGCCCTCCGGTTCCTATGGAGGCACACCCAGATCGTGTGATTGGATCGTGAAGGCAATCAACATGTGGCACATGGAGCGCATTTTTCTTTTATCGCATTCGCGAATTTGACCTCTTCGCTTTCACTGCAATTGCCAGTGCCACAGCTGTCTTTAAGAAAGACTCAACACAACGATGGCGGTGACGTGCCGTGTAACTAGGCTCGTGGGGTCCAGGAGCCGCCAACTGCACGCCTCCGAACATCTTTCGCGTCTTCCCTTCTTCGGTGCTACTGTTCCTCACCCACAATCTCTCCCCACACAATCCATGGCAGCCAGTGTACTACCGACAGAATTGAACCGTTCGGTCCGAAATGCAGTCCAACTTCACACCTTCCTCCAAATCTTCTTCTCCCCAGCCGCAGCGCTTGCCTGTTAATCCAAGACGACACAAGGTCGACCCGTCGTTACGAAAGCGCGTCGTAAGAGCGTGAGTAAATTCCCAGCCTCATGATTCGCATTGGTACTGGTTGTGGTTTCTTGGTACTACGGTGCCGACGGATGTCGCCCAGGCAATTAGCAAGCGCATACGTCAGCAGGGCTCGGTGGCAGCATCGAACGCGCAACGCTCAAGTCATGCACCGTGCAAACACGCGTCTCAAACTCATCACTGACGTACGAGCGCAGATGCAACGCGTGCAACGTTCGTCGAGTTCGGTGCTCGGGGGAGCAGCCGTGCCAACGATGCAGCAAAACTTCACGCGAATGCGAGTACCCAGCACCAGAATCAGATAAGCACTCTCTCAAAGACGAGCTCGAACGCTTGCGAGCGCGATGTGCAGCACTCGAAACAGGTTTCAAGATTGCAGCACCTGAACACGCCGCCGAGATCATTGGACAGCTCGACCATGGCGGATCAGGAACGCGTTCGACCGCGCCGACTTTTCTATCTGTCTCAATGGAGCTGGATCAAGCCGATACGAACGATGGCCGCCTGCTTGTTGACCCTTGTGGCACCCCGAGGTTCTTTGGTGAAACATCTGGAGCAACGTTCCTGGATTACCTAAAGCAATTCATGCTTACGCTGGTTCCTCTGACCTTTCAGCCCGAGTCGGCGGATGGATCTTCATTCGTTGCTTCAATTGGACGCTATCAGACATACGACTCGCGGCCAATCCCGAATCCAAGCGTGGACCCGTTATGGCTTCCGGATCAGGACGACATGGCATTGATGCTTGCCCAACTGCGAGCCTACATCCAGGATGGCAATGGCGAGTTTCTGTCCGGCGGGATATACTGTAAGCTATGCGTGGATTACTGACTGTGCTTTCACTAATGTTCACCCAGGGTGGGGCGATCTCACCCAGTTCCCCACGTCTGCGGCTCCTTCCGTCTTGCTGAGTGCAATGACGACAGACGACACTCACCGACGCTTAGCCTTCTATCATGTCTGCTTCGCCCTAGCTACGTCTTTCGGTCATCAGTCTTTCCGACGCTCAGACCAGCATGCGGGAGAGGCGTACTTCAAACGTGCGCGAAAGCTCCTTGGGAATCCATTAGATACTGTGCGATTCACCCTGGATGACGTCCCTGTATTGACTCTCATGGGCTTCTACCTCATCGAGCTGAACCGCAGAGATGCAGCATACGTATATGTAAGAGAGACCTCGAAAAGCTGCAGACAAGACACGCGCTAACAGTCTTCAGGTCAGTTTAGCGATTCACATTGCCATTATACATGGTGCGTTCAGGTCTTGCAATGATGAAGCGAGCAAACGCAAGTTCTGGACACTCTACATACTGGACAGATGGCTTTCCGTATTGATGGGTCGTCCGCCAACCCTACTCGATGAAGCTATCAGGCTCCCTCTACCATGTGACGTGCCGTAAGTATTCGATACATGTGAACCGGAGAGCGTCGCTAAACTTCTCAGCTCAATGCCGCCATGCGCAGGCCTCCGAGCACATGTAGAGTTGTCTCGCATTTCTGGCTACATCGTCTGCGAAACATTCAAGATCGCTCCACGACACTACCAACGTGGCTACTCAACCTTGAACGTGGACAAGGCTCTGGATCAACTCGAAAACTGGAAGCTCAACCTACCGCCTGTGCTAGCTATTGACGTTGACGCTGACCCCGCGGTTCTGTCCCTCCATCTAGCGTACAACCAACTCATCGTCCTCACGACTCGGCCTATTCTCCTGGCCGCTGTCAAGCAAGCCGTGGCTGAACGCTACATGAATGGTTCGTGGTCTGTGCAGCAACATGCACACAGCAAATATGTTCAGGCCTGTCCAGAGGCTGCCCAGCGAAATTTGCTTTTAGCCAAGCGATTGCGATCAACAAGGAAGCTGCTGCAAGCCGGTCTACACTTCGTGTTTAACGCAGCTGTTATCTTGATACTAGATCAGATTCTCCACTCTTCCAGCACTGCGCCCACGGCTACCGCGTTTAACACTCCCGTGTACACCTTGGAGATAGACTTTGCGATGCGCACCTTCGAGGAGGAGTCAAGGACCGGTACTAACTACCCCAGAGACTGTTACAAAGTCCTGCAAGATCTCAAGGCTCTTGTTGACCGCTACCTCTCTCATGGTCATGGCCACTTCGAGCAAAGCAACGACCCCGGTCTCGTTATCAACACACCCGCACCGCAGTACAATGCGCAACGAGGCGCAGAACTTCAAGGAAATCCATCGAACACCACAGCTGGCACTGTGTACCAGGAGCTACGAACCTGGATGCAGAGTGACGGATTGAAGCTACATAACAGCTTACTCATTTGAAACGGACTTCATCCACCGGGAATGCTACCCGGACGAGTGATTAATCAGAAACCTTATTCTCCCCGCGGCGCCCTCTTATGCCCGCGGAATGTACAACCAATCACGCCACTGCAGTGACCTTGATGAGGAAACGCCCGAAGGCAAAGTAGCTCTTACCACCCTGCTGGACCATCAAGGGCCGGTCGACGCTATAACCGATAAACGAGACAAGAACTTGGTAACGGCACGTGTAGTGCATAAAGTTCCTGCTTCGAGCTGCCGCGCGGCGAGGGCATAGGGAAGATCGTTTCGAGAAGTTTCTACTACTCCGTATTATCGCGACGGCCATTCGATGACAGTAGACGATGTCATCATCTCCAATTCAGCTTTGCCTCCACGAAAGCCCTTTTACCATTCTTGTCGAGATAAGCAACCATATGCAAAAACAGCGTTTGGCTCTCGTCCGAGGTGTCATAGTCAAACCCACCCGGCGAGCAGGGGTCGCACCTTGCGCGGTGGGCTCCGATTGGTCAAGCTTAGCCCGGCACGCTTCGATCTGGAGGCTCCTGCAGGCCAAGCTGTATAACCACCCTTTGATCGGACAAATTCAATGGGGTGAAAAGAAGCGGTAACATATCGACAATGGGTCACGGGAGGCCAGAGACTAGGGTCCTGGGAGCTGAAGAGCCTCACCAAAGCAATTACGTACTTGTGAATGAGGAAAATGGTCAAGGGCGTCTTTTACCTAGGGAAAGCTTGGCCTCTTGATCGCGCGGAACTTGCCTTTACTATGGTTTCTACTACTAGAGAAGAAAGAGATCCTCTTATTTCCACTTGTGTTCGCAGCAACAGCAAATCGGCAGTCATGAGTTCTACGGTCAACTTGGGAAACCAAACTCCATCATTGACAGACGAGGAAGCCCCTGGTCCAGAGGAGCGTTGCATGTCCAGTCGCGTGAACCGAAAAATGGACATTGCACTTTTACCTTGCTTGTCCCTGTTGTACCTGTTCAATGGATTAGATCGATCGAATGTTGGGAATGCGGAGACGCAAGGTATGTTTAGATCGATCAGATCAACCCCATTATGCTGATCCTACGAACACCAAAGGAACGGTTCTCCTAACGTCTTACATGCAGGGTTCACAAAAGACATCGGCGCAACTCCGGACGATCTCAACTTAGCAGTCTCGCTCTTCTTCGTCACATTCGTGTTACTCCAGCCTCCGTCGGCGGCGGTGGGGAGATGGCTGGGCGCAAAGCATTGGATTACTATCATAATGGCAAGTCTACAATATCGTCATTTTCAAACTCGCATTTCTGATACTCAAAGATAGATCGGATGGGGCATCTTCACCTTAGCCCACGCCTTCATCCGCGGCCCCCGTCGCCTCATCGCCGTCCGCTTAATGATCGGAGCCTTCGAAGCAGGCTTCTATCCCACAGCCATCGCGTACCTCTCCACCTTCTACGGGCGCTACGACATGGCCGTTAGAATTGGTCTTTTCTACGGCCAATACGCTATTGCCGGCGCGTTCTCGGGGTCTATTGGTATGTTACCTTGCCTTACTCAGTAATACCGTAGTATGTATGTATGTGCTAATACGGACCAAGCATTCGGTATTTTCCACCTCAACAACACACGTCTGCATAACTGGCAGTATCTCTTCATCATCGAAGGCAGTCTAACCATCCTCATCGCCATACTCGCGTGGTTCTGGTTACCAGCCGGACCAGGCTCAGCATGGTTTCTCAGCCACGAAGAGAAAGTCTTCGCCGTTCAACGCATCATCAAGGATAATTCTGCGTGGACTTCGCATGATTTTGGAAGGGATGGCGTGGAGAGGGAGAGGCTGACGAGACGAGATGCAAGGGAGACGGCGAGGGATTGGAAGTTGTGGTTCTTGCTGTTTTTTAATATCTGTGCGAGTGTGCCTAGTCAGGCTTTTTCGGTTTTCATGCCCATGGTGGTGCAGGGGTTGGGGTATTCGAGTTTGGATGCGAATTTGGTATGTTTATGCACGCAAACCCATAACGCATATACTCTGTTCTTGAGATGAAAACTAATATTAAGTCGTTTAGATGTCCGTCCCCCCCTTCGTCTGCGGCGCAATAGGACTCTACCTCTTCGCCCTATCATCCGACCACCGCAAAGAACGCGGCTACCACATCATAACCGGCATTTTCATCTCGCTCATCGGCCTCATCATCACCGTCACCGCCCCCTCCCATTCCGCCCAATACGCAGGCCTCTGCATCCTCCTCTCAGGCTCCTACATCTCCGCGCCCCTAACCGTCGCCTGGCTCAGCGGCAACAACCCCGAGCCAGGAAAACGTTCCCTCGTCTTGGGTGTCAACGGCTTCGGTAACCTCGCTGGTGTGGTGGGCGCGCAGTTGTATAAGAAGAAGTATGCGCCGAGGTACCTGGTGCCGTTTTATGGTACGTTGGGGTTTGTGGTCGCGGCGTTGCTGGGGTATACGGCGTATAGGTTTATTCTTGTCAGGGTGAATAGGAGGAAAGTGGCGTGGAGGAGGGGGAAGAGCGTGCAGGCTGTTGAGGCGGAGAGGCTGGATGTGACGAGGTATGCGGATGCGAAGATGACGTTTTTGTATGGGCTTTGAGTGTGCGTGTGTGTGGGATGGATGGGTAACAGTGATGACTGGACTGAGAGATGGTAGGAACACCCTATGTTTATAATCTACGAGATTCTTGAAACAAGGTCTACAACGTGCATGATCCAGGATGATGATATGATGATATGATGATATGATGACATGAGAATCCTGGGTTGTTTATGATATTTGGAGGTGTTGCAGCTATCATGTTAGGGGACTGATTGAAAAGCGAATAAGCGTTCACATTTTCTCCTTAATGAGGAAAGAACGAACTTCTTCGACGATCTTTAGTCAATTGGGAAGAAGACTGTAATAGGAATCTCATTTTATAAAGAGTTGCTCTCTCCTCCAGATACAACAGACGTCCTCATTCCTCGCTAGTACTACTCCCATCATCCGCAACCATACTCTCCGCCTCCTCCCTACTCTTAAAATCCCCAAACATCAAATGAACCCCGGGCACACCATATCCCTGCAATTCCTTCCTCACGCCTTCCCTTGCCGCACTCTTAACATACCGCCTCGCCTCCTGCCACAACCGCTCACTTCCCGCTAACGGCTCCTCCGCATACCCAATCCACTCGCCCATCCAAGCCTCCCTATCCCTCTCCATCTGCCAAAACGCCAATCCAGCCCTCACGTAAATCCAGCCTACATCGCTGCCCTCCAAGAACTCCGTCAAGAAATGTTCAAAATCGGGGTTTAGAGATTCTTGCAGGATTTTTATGCTGCGGAACCCCCAAAAGGCGGCTTCGGCGTACTGACCGAGAGCATTGTAGGCGGCGATGGTGCGAGAGACGAGTTTGAGGCGGAGGACGACGCGGATGGTTATGCCGGTTTGGCCAGCGTAACGACCCGTGGTTATGGCTTCGTGGAAGAAGTCGTCGGCCAGGACGCGGCGGGTGCGGCCGGAGATGAGGATATGGATCGAGTGGAAGGCTTTGTTGTAGAGGTCGAGGGCTTGTTGGGCGGCGGTGTGCTTTTCGTCAGTGGTGAGAGTGTTGGTAGGAGAGGGAGTCGCTGAGGCGAGGAGCACATCGCCAGCTAGCATGTGGTCTGTAGCGTTTTCGACGCTTTCGTGCAGTGTGGGGATCGGGATGGCTTGGAGGCTGGCAAGTTCTTCGCGGACGACGGGGGAGTAGCCATGGATGTGGGTACTGTTGAGGCCTTTTACGTGTTCGAATGGGAGGAGGAGCTTGCGTTGCAGAGGGAGGGGTATGTTGGGTTCCTGCTGTTCAGCCGATATGTCTACCTCTCCGCCATTCTCGGCATACGGATCCCGCAGAACGAACGTAGTAGATAGGCGCTCGTTAAGCATAGGGTAAGACAACGCGCTATAATACCACGTCTTGGTAAAAAGGGGCAAGTCATCCACAAGCATAACAACCATATGCTCAGGTACCTCGCCATGAAACGGCGCGGTAATCTGCACAACAGCATGAAAGTCGTTGAACGCATCGGCGCGCGCATCCGTGCAAACGATCGGCACAAGACCCTCGGAGGAGATGTGGTTCACTAAAACTACAGCGTTGGTATATCAGCCATGCACATCGGACAAACAGAGAAAATCAAGGGAAAGGCTCACGGCGTCCGCGGCGACCGGTCATTTCCAATTGCTCTGGCACACCATCCGTAGCCATCAGATAAACTCGATACATACCCGCGCTCGGCCATGGAGTAGCAATCTTGACGAAGACATTTTCTCTTCTCCATACTTTCTTCGCTTCGGCATAGATTTGTTTGTTGGCGAGCCAGAGGTTGAAGTCCCATTGGTAGACGCCACCGTAGAAGCCTTTGGCTTCGAGTTCCTCGCTGCGGACGAGGTGGTCGGCGGGCGTGAAGTAGATGGAGTAGATTTGTTCGCGGAGTTCTAGGGGCAAGCGTAGGAAGGGGAATGGGGTTGGTGTGGTGTTGGGGGTGGTGTCTTCGGACATTGTGGGCGGTGAAGGGGGTTCCTGGGGTGGTTTGGGTTTGGGTTTGGATGCGAAGGGGTTGGTTACGAGAGAGGTGAACTGGAACATGGTAGCGAGGGCACGCGATTGCAGAGCTTAGGTAGCTCTAGAGAAGTGCGGTACGGGCGGCTGGAAGATGGTTGACGGAGGAGGAATCTGCCCCACCTTTAGCTCCGGTGTTAAAGCCGTGGGCCGAGGCACACCAAAGTTGTAGCATCGTTATGCGTTTTTCTTCTATAACGCCTGAGTCTGGGGGCTTTTTGCAAACAGTTTGTGCACGTACTTTGTTCGATTTAGTTTCTCACGAGTGTAGTTCACCAGGTGCATCTGGGTGACCGTCAAAACAATCAGCCATGACAGTGGTGTCTACGTTCATGTCATTTATTCCAACATATATAGTACATGTAATAGATATCCAGGACACCCATTCCCGGGTTGATTACCCCTGTCATATCCGCATCAGAGTGGAACAGTATCTTTTCGTGGTATCTTTCAAATCCTTAAACGTACATTCCGCAGCTCCTCTACCGTGTCTGGGTAGGTGGTACTCCCTCTTGGTGGCTAGCTGCCGCCTCAGGTGCGCTCGCTGCCGAAGGTACAGTCGCCGTTTGAGGCGCCGAGTTACCTGCACCCAACCAACTGAATGCGCCTGCCTTCATATCGTTAAGTTGAGCTTCCTGCATCTTCTTCTCCTCTTCGGCCATCTCCTTGAGCCATTGCTCTCCGTTCTCGCGGATCTGCTTGTCCAGATGTACGTAGTTTTGCTTGTTGAAGTCGCGGTACATGTCGATCATCATCTTGCCCTCTGACATGCCCTGGCTAATGTTTTGGTCACCGAGAACCATGCCTTGTTTCGGTCCGTCGAGACCCAGACTTTTCATGAACATGCCACCGGCACTGCCCTTGGTCTTCTTCTTCTGCTGCTCAAGATCGCGCTGGAATTGTTCACGGAGTTTGGCTTCGCGACGGGCGTATTCGATGGGAATGTCTTTGCCTTCCATCGACTTGAGAACGGTGCGGACGTCGATCGGTGTACCGGTTTGAGACATCATGGCAAGGTATTCGAGGAAGGGGATCAGAGCTACGAGGCCCTTGTCGCCGGGCTCGCCCTTCCACTTGGGCAGGATGATGGCGTTTTCGGGTTGGAGCTTGACGTGCGAGGGGTCGGTGTCGATCATGATGACTTTGGAGAGGTCGCGGTTGAGGTAGGAGAGGTCCTAGGGATCATTAGCAGGAATCTCGTACTATAGACAACAAACGTACCTTGATGTACTCGCCCTTCTCGAAGCGGGTAGCCTCGCGGAACAGTGGCCACATGACGAGACGGAAGGGGTCGAGCTTGCGGATGATGGGGTCGGCATCCATGGACTTGACGGAAGTGAAGATGACGAGTTCGTATTGCGAGCTGAGGTATCGGAGGAAGTAGTCAAGACCAGGTCGCTTTGCTAATCGGTAGCCGTGCTTGGTGGTCCATTCTGAGTGTAGCAGGAGGTCTTCCAAACTGAGTACCAGAGTAAGTTCTGGTGCGCCTCCGGGGATCTTGTCCTTGTCTGGTAGCAACTTCTGGAAGGTAGGCTCCGTGTAGTATGCCTTTTGTCCGTTGATGCGGGCAGCCGCACGGGCGTACATGCCGCCCAATGTCCAGCCATTGGGAGCATCGATGTGTGCGGCTTCCTCTTCTTCGTTCTCCCAGTTTCGGCCCATGAAGAGCGCGCCCGTTGTGCCGAAAAGTAGCATACCGAGGTAGGACCAGTTCGCGACACGGTTCCGCCGCCTGTCGGTACTGGTTTCGTATGCGGACTTGGGCAGTTCGCCGCCACTGCCGCCCTCTCGGCCTCCCGCAGCGCCTGATGTGGGGTCTTCGTAGAGCTCGTTGGGGTCGTTGGGGTCTCGTTTCGCCTTTCCATCAGCTTCAGCATGCTCCTCGGCGAACGTCGAGGGGATTCCGTATCGCAGGTCCGGTAGTGGCTTTTGCGGTTGTTGCGACTCTGGGCTTTCGGTGGTGGGGTCGGTGTTCTCGCTGGGCGACTTGGGCCCCGACATCTCCTCCTGCTCCGACATCTTGAAGTCCTTTCCGGCATCTTTCGAGGCCTGTGTTGCGCTCTCTACTGGTCTTGAGGGCTGTGTGGGTGTTGTGTTCTTCTCAGGCGCTGATTCTGTGTCGAATTCGGGCTGCTCTGAAGGGCTGACCGGGTTACGCCGCGCCTTGTTGTTCTCATCGAACTTGATGGGATCTGAGGGTTTCCAGGTGTTGTCTTTTGGCTTGCCAACCTTGGCATATGTGCGCGTCCATTGCGAGGTGGAAGCTATGGGTGTGATGCGCGGCGCTGCCAGTGCAGACTGCATGCGCAGGGCGCGGAAGGCGGTTCTAGGGAGCATGGCGATAGAAGAGGGGATAAAATACAAATTAAGAAGAAAACGCGCCTCCAGGAAACATGGGCCGGGCACATGGGGGCTGTGGTGTCGGCGGTCCTGCGATGAAATAATTGATGGAGCAGGGCTTGGCGCAATGACGCTGCTCCCTCGCCAGAAATTCGCCCGTGTCCTATGGCAATCGTGGCTTCACCAGTCTAGCAGGAACGCCGAACATGTGGCCCCGCTTAAACACCAACCCTCTCGTCGCCTCCCGCTGTTGACAGACTCGAGTCACATGTCGCCTCACAGGGACCTTTTTGCCCATGCGACTGACTGGAAGGCCTCTGCGGCGACATGCGCCAATGCCCGGAGGAGCACCCTTTCAGCTACTATGCATCCTCCTGCTATCTATAGGCTGCTGGACGACGCCCGCTCATGGCATGACCGATGAAGCCATAGCAGAACTGAGGTAATTTTACTGAATCATCAATGTCACATGTGTACTAATTCCGCAGACAAGAGACACGCGACATCTTCTACCATGGTTTCGACAACTACATGGAACATGCCTTCCCAGAAGACGAACTACGACCACTCACTTGCGCACCCCTCACTCGCGATCGCCATAACCCCGCCCATATCGAGGTCAACGACGTGCTCGGAAACTACTCTTTGACGCTGATAGACAGCCTGTCGACG